TTATTAACAGCAAATTCTGATACAGGTACTTCCACAAAACTCTTCATGTGGTCGCTTTCTTATAAAGCAATGTGTGCACTTATCTGATCGAATGGATATGCATTCGGATAAACTTTTAATGAATTTCCGATCTGTTCCTTGTGAGATTCGGGGTTGTAAAGTAAAAATTGCCAAGTTTAACTGTTAGAATTAAAGGTAGCTATATTTATTCTTGCAACGATTTGCTTGACTTGAGCACAGTTCGCGTATGCACAGCGTCTCCTCCAAATTATTTCCAACCATCGCGTCGTGTCGCGTCTCGTCATCGTTTCGAACAGCTCCAGGCGCGATTAACGCGAATTGAAAGTAGGCGAGTGAGAGAGCAGATCTGAGCCTGTTTCTAGTCGACGAAGCACGTGATGGGGTTGGAGAAACGCAACGGGAAGAAGCTCGAGCGACCGAAGTTTGTCGTCTTCCTTTTGCTTTATTCTGAAATTATGCATACGTACACTTCTTATCCTTTCGCGTGTCAATTCGAAGAATGCTAGTCCTTGAGAGAACTATTCGCGAAATGGAACGAACGTAAAGAAAACCTCTTCGAGCATGTTCCTCCTTACGGTTACCGTTCTCACTTACCGCTTCCGTTACGACGCTTTTTCAGGCCTTTGTCATTATTTCTGAACATCTCAAACAACTTAAAGTGGGAAATGTTTTCACTTTTTGATCGCATACTTACGTTTCTTTTCTATTTAGTCTAATACTTGGGACTGACATTGTTTAAAAAAAAAAAAACAAACGCTTACTGAATGGAAAGGCGAAAAGGAGTAAGGACATTTGTCAGAAATCGCTGAGAAATGTATGAAAGAAAGTGACTATTTAATTACTTATACATATCGAGAAATTCCGAATTGTATTTCAAAAATCGTTTTCTCTACGTTAGGTTTGTCGAGTATGGAGATTTAAAAATCTTAGTCTTTATATGTCGCGTATGCTTGCTGCAAAAAGAGGGAGGAATCTAAAAACAAATCGGGATAAAATCAGTGTCACGTAAATGTGCGAGCTGTAGAAACAAAGAGCAGATAAGGGTTTTATTTCGGATATAGGGCAAACAATAGTGACGTGCTTTTATTTATCCAGCAGGCAGACACCAAAAGTACAGCTCAGGCTTGATGAAGACACATATGTATGTATGTATGTATGTACCGAGTAGCACGATCAAAGAAACATCGCTTTTCCTCTTATTTCAAATTGTCATGACTTGAAGCTTTCGTTTAAAATTGCGTTACGCTATTTAAATAAAAGGAAACAAGAAGATTTGAATAAATGGAAATGCTTTGCATACAGTCTAAGATTTCCTCCTTTGAATATATTAGTTAGTACGTGTAGGGATTTACAGATATATCTTAAATTACACTAAATATCAAAGTTTTGTTTGTTATTGTAAAGCTAATTAAAATTGGAGAAACGGTATTGTTGATAACAACCAGGCAAACTACATAAAGTGATGTTCAATGTTTTTACATAATAATGGTACATTTATTTAAACAATGTTGTCTATTACGTATTTAAATAATGTCTATCACCCTACAGCGCTGTCCCTAGCTGTTGCGGTTTCCAACTCGTCCTAGTCCGCGACCAGAGACGTTCGTTGGTACGAAAGACACTCGCAATCACGCTGCTAACTTCATACTGTTGAATTATCGTCGGCCGTGCGCGCGCAGTTTCCGTTTCATATTAAAGCTGTATCTTAAAGCGCCAGTATTAAAAGTCAAGAAGAGGTAAAAGATAACCAACTTCATATGTATAATTGTACATACAGATATATATACCCATGTATAAATAAATCCTCTTTGTAAAGCCTTTTCGGTGGCGCTTGTAAATTTTCGAAATCTGTTTTCAGTTCAGTCAGAATCACAGCTGGTGCACCCATGCATTGTCTCCATACAAGAGCCAACGTTTTCGACTGCCTTCATAATAACAATCCGGCTTCATTTGAGTTGGTAAACCACTGTCGACGTAAATTCAGAAGAACGCTGGTGCTGTCACCACCCTCGTGCGCCTCAACCCCGACACAACTACCTCTCATAGAGTTTCGCAACAAACTTATACACAACAGCGCTGTATGAACTAAATATTAACTCTAGGTGTTAGATTTACCGAACAAAGACCTCTTATGTACAAGTTTTCTTCAATAGGCGCCGTTTATAATAAATTCCAGATTACCTTCCTCTACTGTTATCAGTTATAAAAATTATAAAAGGAAATAGAGAACTTTAAGAATACTGATAGGGTTAGGATAGTTACATAATCTTATGTGCCCTACAGTGGGGGGTAGGGGTAGGGGCAGCATTGATTTTTAAAAATTAAGCCTGAAAAATAGCACTGGAGATANTAAAATAATTCGAAGTGGTCTGTATTCTGTCGAAACTGCCAGACGCGGATCGCGATTTCGATCTTTTTGGATCTCATCAGCGCGTCGCAGGCAGTTCCGACAGAACACAACCCAACCTTTACCTGCTGTCTTAACAGCGCGTTTTAGAAAATACTACAAATGGCACGGTAAACGCCATCTGTGGTACGATGCTACATTTTAGGATTACGTATGCTCCATCAAGATCCATTTAAAAATGTTCGATTATGGTAACGTGCCTATCACGTTGAGGTGAGCTACGCCGGGATTCGTTGCAGCTTGCAGTTTTTGTTTTAAATGCAATTTAGACTTGTGAACGTATTTTGTTTACTTTTCTTATTTCCTGCTGCTGTACAACGAAGTTACGAATTCGAAACGTGTAAAACATTCGTAATAGAAATTATCTTAAAACAGTCTTTCACATCTGGTTAAAACTTGTTAATTGCTTTGCACGGTGGATCTCACAAGATCAACTATTTTCTCTTTCAATCTGCTGCTTCGCAGCTATTTTAAATTGAAATATTCAATATGGGCACTTAAGAACACAAACAGCAGAAATTCTTCAGCTAATGTTCCACTTGAACACCAGGCAGAATTTATTTAAACCATTAATTTTTCCGCTTGTTTTACTTATTATATCTATTTGGTGACATCTCGGTTTCATTAATTTCAACCATTCTGAAGATTTCTCTGTTGAATTCTTTTCAATTTGGAATCATAAAGATAGCCGGTTTTTTTAATGTAGAAAAAATTCTAAATAGGTACAACACAATTGGTTTTCGAACTCTTTTACATAATCAAGTTTTCTTATTTCTTTTAGTTACATTACGTACCTATAAGGGGCCATCTATAAATTACGTCACACGAATTTCATGATTTCTTGACCTCTCCCCCGTCCTTGTCACAGCTGGTTACATTTGTGAAACTCCCCCCTTCCTAGTGTGGCGTCACATATTTTGCAATTTTTACATCTAGAAATTATTGAATTAAAAGTTTTTAAGTTTTTTGTTAATATTGCAAAGTTCGTGTTTTAACATGTAGATTTTGAAAATTTAGAAATGTGACGTCACGAAATTTAGGACCTCCCATCCCCTTGTCACACAATGTCACACTTCGTCGACACCCTCCCTCCCCCTTAACTTGTGACGTAATTTATGGATGGCCCCTTATTTAATTGCTTCATAAAAAATATTTATAGTATCAAGGAAATTTCGTCGAATTTTTTTTTACGAATATAAATTAAAGCTCATTTACTCACAAATATTTAACTGGGCTTCTGGCAAATATTTAAACTTATCATTACCGTTGATTGATAGACTGATGATGTCTGTTAGTTAAAAATTGCTGGTTTATTTTTGTTAAAATTACACCAGGCGCTTTTTTGAATGATGCAATCGTTTGCGGTAGGTGGCGCTTGACCGTCATTCACAAACCGATAATTTTAATTAGTTTTGGTCATCAAACAGGCCCGAAGGGCATTAAAATGATTCCGCAGTGGCATAATGGCCGATGGCCACGCTAGATTATTCAGTCTGTGTTGGATTTATTGCACGGGCTCGAACTTTGATAACGCGACGATTGCCCTACANATACAAGTATATAATAAGTCTCCGTACATATATATACGTATATAAGTAAAATCCTTGTACGCAAAGTAGAATTAATTTGATACTGAAATTGCGTTTCCCCTATTCGTTTTATTCTATTATAAGTATGTACCTACATGTATTGTTTGAAATGGTATTATTGCCCTTTATACTTCCATTATTAGATTTTATTTAATTTATCTCGAATATTTATGTTGGAATGTTTCATTAAACAACAGTAACCAACCTCACTATTATATACAGAACACAGAAAACAGATTCTCAAAACAATGTAGTTTGTTCCTGTATACACAGCCTTTGATAAATTAAATTACTTTTCAATTGAGCAAATGAGAAATGAAAACTTATTGTTAGAGAGCGTTAGATTAAGACATGGTTCACAAGTTCGTTACCGATAAAAATAGGTTTCTGTTAAAACTTAGTAAGTTAGTACGCGATTTAACTAGTTATTATTAAGTCATTCGGTAGGAAATAGTCATAAGCTTAACATATAATTTAAGAGTTAAGTTTAGATAAATTCTTCATAAAATTTAATAATATTCCTACATATTTGCATACAAAATTATGAAAATATTTAATAACTAAATTATCTTTTAATGGGATAATTATTGTAGGGTAAAATTCAACGCATTTGTGAATTAACTTTGTCCACTATAGATAACCTCAAATTAATGACCAAAAGTAATGGTGCGTAAAACCTGGGACCCGGGTTCTATTCTCGGCTAGGGAGTGACAACAACAACAACTTTTCCTTATTAATTTCAGGTTGTCTGTAGTAGGTAAGGTTAATTCAAAATGCATTCTCTTTTAAATTCTTTAAAATTGCCCTCTACTTTTTTCCGTTTTATGACGTTTAAAATACAGAAGACATGAACGTGCTTATTTACTGCTAAAAGGTGTTTAGCATCCGATTATTTTTAACCAATTAAAAGAGATACAAGTTGTTTGCATTGATAGACAGAACTGTTAATTAAATTCCATTAAGGACGTTCAAAATTGCTTACTTTGTGGAGTTGTTCTCCGCATTCCTTTACTGCGTCCGTCTTCCCTTGGAGATAGCGCGGCATGTACCAAAAGCACACGTTGATGAATTGCCGTCTTGATACCAGCAGATAATCAGGACGTGCTTCTATCTGACTCTCAAAGTATTCCGCAGTCTCTAAGATTGCATCCACATGCCTTGCCAACCCGGACGAACCCTGCAACAGAAATCGCATAAGTGTAGTCAAAAATATGGGATTACATTCCAAAATGAATACAAAAATACAATAAAACGAACCTTATGAACAAATCATAAAATCAAGAATTCAAAAGAGTAAATATAATATGGAGAATTCTGTCGAATACATCAGAAATGAAAAAGGTTGTTTGAGTATTTAATGTAATTACATGCCTTCAAAATATTTTCAAGAATTATTTGTTTAGAATCAGAGAGAAAGAAATATTGACAGTCACGAACTCAAAAGAACTAAGCACTCCCGAAAAAAAAAAAAAAGAAGTCGAAGCTTTAAAGTTTGCAACTGTAATATCTTCTTTTGGTTTGTCGAAGTGAGAAATCAATGAATGTCGATAAGATTCCGATTCTAAATTTAAAAATTTAATAATTCCAACGTTTCTTACGGTCGAACAGAAAATCTCTTTAACAGAGAAACTTCTGGCAATAAGTCAGTTAACTATCTACCTTCTACCAGACTTATCGTACGTCAGGTACGCAAATAGAACAAATCATTTCTAAATGACTTCCATTTCTCTTTTTGTCGTTTCATTTTTATTGAAATCTCGCTTTGACAAACCGAAGAAAACAATTCAAGATTAGACTGTAATTTTAAGAACGCAGTAGAATCTACCAAAATAAAAATGAGTTTAAAACAACATAAGAAATCTTAAACCCTACTATGTTGTTGAGTTCTAAACATAAGCTGATCTTGTTCTTTGAATTCAAGGTTCAAAAATTCTGAAACGATAAAATAAGTTAGGAGCGTGAAATCTAAACTTTTTCTAGGCAAGGTACTGGGTATACTTGTCTTTATATGTAGGTACCTTTGCTTTCCACATGAGCCAAAATTTAAAAACGTCACATTTCCTTCCACACTGCAAGTGCTTGTCTCCAGGATCGTAGGACTGATCGTAATATTTGTCCTTTTGAAACAAATACTCAGCACCCTTCGAGTGACACTGTTTGAGGATAGCTTTGTCTTTTAGCAACAGGAGCGAACACTGCTGAGGAACAGCCAAAAGCTTATGAGGATTTATAACTATCGAATTCGCTCTCTCGATGCCATTCAATTTCGACCGATGCTTCTGCGAGAATATTAAACCACCACCCCAGGCTGCATCCACATGTAACCACAGACCGTGTCGTCTGCATATGACGAAAATGTCTTCAACCGGATCGAAGGCTCCTCTAACCGTTGTCCCTGAAACGTAATATGCAGAAGTTTGGATTCTCCTTTTAAGTATATGCGTTGGAGGAAGGGCCAATTTAAGCACTGGAGGAGGGTTAAATTTTAGAATTTTCTTAACTATCACAACTATCGACCAAGATCAGTACTGTATGATAATAAATAAATAAAAGTAAAACTAAAATACTAGTATGCAAGGAAAGAAAAAGTAGGGAAAGAACGAATATAAAGATAGGAGACGAAAAATTAGAAGAAGTGGCTGATTTTAGATATCTATAGGAAGTCAGATAAGTCAAGGCCGAAGGAGTAGTAGGGATATAAAGCAGAGGATAGCGCAGGGTAGTGTCGCCTTTAATAAAAAGAAGTCACTTTTATGCTCGCGATCGGTTAATTTAGAAATCCGAAAAAGATTGATAAAGGTGTATGTTTGGAGCGCGGCGTTGTACGGGTGCGAAACATGGACAGTGGTTGCGGCGGAAAAGAACAGGTTAGAAGCTTTCGAAATGTGGTGTTATAGGCGAACGTTGAGGATAACGTGGGTAGAAAAGGTTAGAAATTAAGAAGTATTGGAAAGAATAGGAGAACAGAGGACTGTATGGAAGTCAATAAAAAATAGGCGAGATAGGTTGGTAGGACACCTTCTCAGGCATGAAGGTCTAGTTAGAGACATATTAGTGGCAGAAACAGGAGTTAGGAGGGGTAGAGGTAGACCTAGGTTAGATTACTGTTCGCAAATAGTTAAGGATGTGGGTTGTTCTAGTTTTAGGGAAAAGCGAAGATTGGCTCAGGATAGGAAAGAGTGGAGGTACGTGTTCAACCAGCCTTAGGACTGACGACCTTATGATTTCAACATTTAAGATAAATTAAAATTACTGTATCGGTAAATAGAAAAATTTGTGCTTAGAGGAATTAATAAAAAGAAAAACGTAAGTATCAGATTAAACACAAGACCAATAGTAAGACCAAGACCGGAACTATATTACCAAGTATTTGATGAAGACCAAGACCAATACTGTCCAAATCTTTGTCTTGGTATTGCTTTGTTCATCATTATTTTTAAGTAACACTACGACGTTTTATAAAAATAAGAATGTCAGGTAATTTCAATTTGATAATTTCATGCGCAACAATCTGTCTTTTGATGCACAGTAGGAATTAAAAATTGATTTATTTTAGCTTCCCATTTCATTTATTAAACAATCAGTAGATATTTTTGAAATATGAAACTTAAATCCCTGTGGCCCTTTGCTTTACATCATTTATCATCCTATTGAATGAAAAGTGAATCCAGTTTGAAATACTGTTTTTGGGGTCATCCCATACATTTTCATAAAGGAATCATTAAACTTCACGTTAACTTTTTACCTCTGCGAACATTGTTTACAAAATAGGTCGTCGTCGACAAAACAAATAACATTTTTTCGTTAATTTCCTATACGGTCTTGAAAAATATGTTTGATAAACTTTAACATCATCAATGTACACATTAAATTTTTCATATTTCTCTCAAAAGATTAACTTTATATGATTTTTTGTCCATTATTAGTTTATCTATTAATTCACTTTAATACCTACCCATTACTGTGAGCTATTTGTAGCTTAATTTGCAGTTTTTGTTTGACAATTTTGACTATTTTGGTATGAAATTTGAATTCAGACGAGCTACTAGTGCAAAGCCGGAGGATACGGCATGAGGTCCTCTTCAATCTTCATTTAGGACTCGCAGAAATTGGTGGGCAGTGGATTTAGGGAGAGACAGATGAAACGAACGGAATCAAGACAAAAGAGAAGCAAAAAATTATATGTTGAACATTACTATATCCCCAACATTTGCCTAAATGATTCAAGGAAGTCAGAGAATGATTTGGACCGGGGCAGGCGAACCCGAATTCTAACGTATCTATTTGGTGTAGTTGAACTCCTTGGTATAATGAAATAGGGAAGTGTTAAAACCCTCTAACGTACGTGGTAGTAAATTATATGTTCAAACTTTTCCTGTTTACATCCGCTGTTAGAAATAAGATGAGAGGTGAATACGTTAGAGTTCGGCTGTTACGAGCTGTTAAGATGTTTTATAAGTAGCTATTCGCATTGCTCGGTCCCTCTGATGCACAAACGACAAAAAACGAAACAGCCAACTTTTACGACACAACATTTTATTACTTTCGGAAACAGGACACACCAATAAGGCTGTTAATCAAGTCAAATCACATTGATGTTTTATCAGTCAGTTTTACGACTAATTATATAAGTACCCCGGTAAAATTGCACCTACATTTTAATCTATCCAAATCATTCATAGTAATTTTTAGCTGAGATCACTTGAAATTTGAAATGTAACACAAAATTCACACTGTCTTATATTGTCTATGTATGTTCCTTTAGATACTTCTCACTTATTAATGATTATTGTCGGAGAATTTTCTTCTGTCAAAGGTGCCGAAATATCGATCGCCGCTTGCGGTATTCATTTTGAAAAGAGCCTAAAAAGGTTGTTTTTAATTATTTATATCACAGCTTTAACGATACTTGCGAAAATATGCGTTTGAAACATGCTTCCTCTAATTCTGATGGAGCCGACCTCTACCTAATAAGAAAACAGGTGGAAATTCTAGCGGATATTCAGTATCGATGGATTTTCTCTTAAAACACGTTTAATTTTGTTTTTCTGCAAACGGCTAAATTGCTGCGAACTGTGGAAAGATAAACAGGAACCTTTTAAACGGATTAAGTAACATACAACGGCAATTTGACGGAAATGCAGAAGCAGGTAACATCACAAAGTTCCCATTTAACTTTAACAATTAGTATATGCCAGTGTCAGAAGCAAATTCAAACTTGGTACCGAGAGAATAAATTGGAGCACTCAATTTGTTGCTACTTCGCTCAATCTAGCTCTTGGAACAACGTCATGTGTTATAATCAATTAGGACCCTTAGCAATCTCTTCAAACTTTCAGTTGCACTTCTCACAACACGTAGATATGAACCAGGAGAACTTCTTGTATCAATAAGTCACTTCAGAGCATTCCATTGATGACTTGGTGAGAAAAAATCGTGTTGGTGAACTACAAAGTTTACTTTACGTTTGAATTCTTATTCTTCCATTATTTCTTTGTTGTCGAGACGCCTGGAACTGACTTTCTGAGTCGCTCAGTCAAATTTATATGTTGCTTTTATCAGTAATTTCGATCTTGATTGATCAATGTAATCTACTTAAGTAGTAACGAGTTAATCAGGGCCCGATCTAGCAATTTAACCGCTCCGGGCAAAAATAATATTTGTCGCCCTTTACAATGACACTTTATATAAGTTATGAGCATGTTATTCCAGAGATAGGACTTATGTAAGTACGTAATATTGTTGAAATTCTATAATATTCACGTGTTAGTCTCCTCGAGCTTCTGAACAAGTACACTACACTGCAATGTGACGGAAATGGGTCTTCAGCACAGAAGTCTCCGGAAAGTTGTGTTGAACTAATGAAAAAATACATTTTTTCTTTAAATAAACAAGCAAATCAACTTAGGGGACTCTCTAAAACGTTGGGTTGTAGGATAAAAAGGGATTCCCCAAAAAATATTATATTACCTACATTCACACTGTCGGAAAAAAGTTAGAAAAATATTTTTTTGTGTAAAATAATTCGAAGTGGTCTGTATTCTGTCGAAACTGCCAGACGTGGATCACGATTTCGATCTTTTTGGATCTCATCAGCGCATCGCAGACAGCTCCGACACAACACAGACCAACTCTCACCTGCTGTCTTAACAGTGCGTTTTAGAAAATACCATAAATGGCGCAGTAAACGCCATCTGTAGCACGATGCTACATTTTAGGATTACGTATGCTCCAACAAGGTCCACTTGTGTGGATATCTACTTGCTGAAAACGAATCCCGGNTGAAAATATTCGTACTTAAGAAGTGATAATAAAATTGATCGAATGTTTTCTCAAGTTTTATCTATCACTCTTTTCCCGGTGAATTTTCTCTATAAATAACAGAGAAGATTATAGAAAGTAAGTCACCGTGAAAGCTCGTTCACCTGTGAAGTGTCGCGAGTGCTTTATTGCAAAACCTTACGTTCAGTTTCTTTCAGGTAAAGTTAAATTAGTTTTACAACAGTTACACGTTAGACGTGCTCACAATAACAATATTTACAAGCGGAAATACCGTCAAATAGCTTGTTATCGCTGAAACAAAATTTTAAAAATGGTTGCGCTTTCAGTTTCGTTACACTTGATTTAGATTTATTTGAAAGATATACTTGTGTCCAGACGAGAATGTTCTTTAAATTGTTTCGCCCTCGTCAGATACGTTGAAAATAAAGGTTTTTGGTAAAATAAAATAAAAATATTGGTACATATATAAGGGAGGTTAAAAAGTCAATTCAAAAATTGGAGAAGAAAAACTAGGAAAAGATAAATATTGTCGATATCTAGGAGGTCAAAAAAGTTATAATGGTAAAGCTTTAGATATAGAGATACATATACGAAAATTCCGTAGATAGAAAAACTTAGAAATGATAAAAATGACGCTATGAATGTGGATTTTAGGTATATAGGCAGTCAGGTAAGTCAGGAAGGAATAGTAGGGATATAAAGCAGAGCATAGCGCAGGGTCGAGTCGCCTTCAATTAAATAAGTCGCTTCTATTCTCGCGAACGGTTTAGAAATTCGAAAAAAATTTTTAACGGTGTATGTTTGGAGCACGGCTCAGTACTGGTGCGAAACATGGATGGTGGCGCGGCGGAAAAGAAAAGGTTAGAAGCGTTCGAAATGTAATGTTTCAGGCGAATGATGAGGATATCGTGGATAGAGAAGGTTAGAAATGAAGAGGTATTAAAAAAGAATAGGAGAACCGAGGACTCTATGGAAATAAATAGGCGAGATAGATTGGTAGGACACCTTCTCAAATATGAAGGTCTAGTCAGAGACATATTAGAGGCAGAAACAGGAGTTAAGAGGAGGTAGAGGTAGACTCAGATTACATTACTGTACGCAAATAGTTAAGGA